CATAGCATGGAGCGCCTGCCTACAATCCCAGAGCTCATCAGGAGGCAGAAGCAGGAGGAGCATAAGTTCAGGACCAACCTGGGCTACAGTGAGTTTTAGACTAGCTGGAGATGCATAGCAAAAAGCTGTCTCAAAACAACAACAACAACAACAAAAACTAACCAACTAACCCCTGAGATGCAATGCAGAACAAGAAACCCTACACAAGCATAGATAGTAATAATAAAACAAAAGTACATGGAATAGAGGGTTATACCCACATTAGGATAAAGTACCTAACATATAAGAAGTGGGCCTGAGGGGCCTGCAGAGATGGCTTGGGACTAAGAGGGAACCTGGGTTTAGTTCCTAGCATCCTCCACATCACTGGCTCACAACTGTCTTTAATTCCAGCTCCAGGGGATCTGACACCTCTGGCCTCTGTGAACACCTGCATTCATGTGTATATATGCACATGCATGCAATGCATGTGAGTGTACACACACACACACACACACACACACACACACACACCCTGTCGTGCTATTCTGCACACACAATTAAAAACAATAAAAGTAAAAAGATATGGATCTGAGAGCGGCAATGAAGGGGTTCAGGACACAGGACTCTCTTAAGTGCAGTTGTATAGGTTCATACAGCAAAGGCCTAGCCTAGGAGGCTCCAGGGCCCAGGGATCTTGCTGTCTAGGACAGAGTTATAGCAGACCCCAGATCTGGAATTTTCCAAGCTTGCAGGTGTAGGGTGGTCTTACTCAGTGGCGAGTAGGGCAGGGCAGGGGACCAGGGAACCTGTCCCCCAAGGGCAGTGCCCTTCACTGGTTACATGTGTGGGATAGGGTTTGGGACACTTTCCTGCCCCATGTGAACTTGGCTACCCTGGAGTCAGGGGCCTTCCTCCCCACCCATTTTCCTGGTCTCTGACAATAACCCAGGTGGCCTAAGGGATTGGCAGCGGACAATGAGCAACATCCTCTCGACAAGTAATTATAATTCCAGCCGGGCTGCACGTGGCCCCAAAGTGTGTGTGTTCTCAGGTATGTGTCCAGGCCTTTCTGCATGCCTGTGTACTGTTTTCAGTAGCCCTGAGCCCCGGACTGTCCTCCCAGGGACCAGCTGCTCTGAGCCTCAGACACAGGGACATTTCTGGGCCCCTGTTCTCCTTTAGGACAAACCCTGTCTTTTCTGCCACTCTTACCTGACCCCCAAGCCTAAAATCTCCAACCCAACCCCAATCCAAGGACGGCTTCTCCTTCCCTCTAACTCAGGAAGAGGTTTGTTGACTTTGGGAATGAGAAGTTAGTGTGGGTGGGTAGTATGGAACCATGCCCGGTCTCCTACTCTCTCTGAACCCTGCTCATCCCATGACCCTTGAAAATGAAACAGGACTGGATCCATCCCCCCCCCCCCGCTCCGGTGCAGACCTGAGCTCCAAACACCGTTGCTTAGGCTCTGACATAGCTTGGTACACCTCCCCACCCCACCACACCCCACCACACCCCTGCCACATCCCTCCTCTCCCCCCCATTTGGGGGACACTCAAGCCACATGTGAGTCCCCCCTCATCCACACCCTTGGTTTCTAAGCGTCTTGCCATTTGTCATGTGCTCCGCACCCACCGCAGGCCTGCAGCTCTGACCTCTGCTCTGCTTGCCTCCAGATAGCTCCCAGGGCCTGTGCGCTGGGCAAATGCTGATGGAACTGAATTTGGCTCCAAGGATGGTGGTGTCTCTCGGACTACAGCTACTTATCAGGGGAGAAAGACCTGGGGTAGCTGCCGCACAGCTGCAGGGTTGGCTCCCTCTGTGGATGTTTGGGAAGGCCCCCTCCTGCATCTGGCAGGGCCAGGGTTTAGTGGCCATATGCAGGGAACCTCTAGGCTCATGTGGATAAAACCAGAGGCATAGACAGCTGTTTGCTGTTTCAAAGAGACACTAGGGGTTAATATGTTCCTATCAAATCCCCACTTAAAATTATTTTATGTGTATGGAAGTTTTGTCTGCGTATATATCTGTGTACCATGTGTGTGCCTCGTGTCTGAGGAAGCCAGAAGAGGTCATTGGATTCCCCTGGGACAGGAGTTAGAGACAGAGTCGTGAGCTCCCATGAGGGTGCTGGGAATTGGACCCAGGTCCTCTGGAAGAGCAATCGGAGCTGTTAATCATTGAGCAAACTCTCCAGAGCCACACATCCATTCCTTTTAAGTGTCAGCAATTCCAAACAATGGCAACACCTTATTTTAAGGGTCAAATGCCAGGTCTGGAGGCTACATGGGCTCAGGGGCTTCCAGCTTTTCGACAGTACACATGCCCGGGTTGAAGTCCATCTCCAGTGGTCCCTTACCGAAGGATGGTGAGCAAGCAAGATGCTTCGCCCCGTCTGTGGACTTGGTGTCTTCACTAATGAAATGGGGGAGAATCCAACCCTACGCTCAGGCTCTCACATGCAACCCAGACCCCTGGGCAGAGTGCGCAACACACGTCATGGCTTCTCACAGTTCTCGGTGAAGCCTGTTTTATACCCTCTGCAACTTCAGCCAAACCACTTTCCCTTCCTGGGCCTGTCACTGCCTGAAAGGGAGACGGTATCTCACCAAAGAAGCTCTGAAATCTGCATTCGCCTTGGCAACATCATTCCAGACATCTCTTCGGTGTAAGAGCAGAGCTGGGGGCGGGGTGGCTCTGGAATGTCTGTCTTCCTTACCTTGTAGGTCCAATGCTCCTCTCCTACAGGCATTCTTTAGGGCCCTGCAGTTGTCCTCACGCTCTCATGCACACACACAAGCCTTCCAGTACTAGGTCATCAGCTGTTACTAGTCATTCAGATTTTTTTGTGGTGAAGAGTCTGAAGCTGGCTTATTCATTCCATTGGATTTTGGCCCCTCTCCTGAGAAGCGTTTCTTGAATTGCAGAGAGAATACTCTTAGGACACTTGTGTGAATGATTCCTGTCTTAGCCTTAACACCCACCCACCCCCTTCTCTTGATGTTTTTATTTTTGTCTTCCAGTGAGTCTGAGGCTCAGCCTAATGACTCACTGTCATTGGACTCCAGTGTGGTCTGGTTCAACTCCAAAAGCCACACCAGGCTGCTGCCTTTTGCACTGGGCTGTCAGAGCTTTAGGGATTCCTAGTTTGGTACCAGCAGTCCTGGGCTCTGAGGGTGTGGAGGGAGCACCAGAGAGCTAGATGGTACCTCTGAATGGAGCTGTGTGTGTGTGTGTCTGAATGGAGCATGTGCACGTGCACATGCACATACATGTATACAAAGGTCAGGGGACAACCTCAGATGTCATATGCAACCTTGTAAAACCTTTAAGTATTTTGTGTGGGGGGTTCATGTGTGCATGTACACTCCATGGCACGTGTATGGAGGCAAAGGACAGCGTGCAGGAATTGGAATCTGTTCTCTCCTTCCACCACGTGGACTGAACTGGGGTCACTCGGCTTGGTGGCATGTGTCCCTCCCACCTTTTCAGACAGGGTCTCTTATTGCTCTGGACCTTCGCCAAGTCCCGGCTGGCTGACCAGCAAGTTCTAGGCGCCCGCCTCTTTCTACCCCCCACCTCCCCATCACAGGACTTACAGGCCTGCCCTAACACATCCAGATTCTTACCTGGGTCCTAGGGATCCAAACTCAGGGCCTCACGTTTTTTGAGGCAAACGTTTTTCTGACTGAACTATGACCCTGGCCCTCCCATTCATAGTCTCTCTATGTATTCTAAACCCTCTTTCCCTAGCTGTTAGGTCTCCTGGAGTCCCTGCAATGTGAATGAAACCCAAAGCAACACTAAGGTGTGATGGTAGCCAGAGCTCCCCTCACTTAGAGCCCTCCGCATGCATCCCGCCTTTCTTCCTCTCCCAACCAGGGCTGCTGGGTGACGTCCTGCTCTTCACAGGGGAGAAAACAGGCTCACACAGTTAGACAGGGGTGGGGGGGTGGGGGTGGGGCTCAGGCCCACATTCTAGTCTCAGAAGTCTGGGCCCAGGCTGGGGATGTGGCTCGGTGGGTGGAACGCTTTCCCAGCATGCATAAAGCTCTGTGCCTTTTAAACTGGGCTGATGGCACATGCCCAAAATCTCAGCACTTGAGAGGTAGAGACAGGAAGGTTAGCTCGGGGCCGTCCTCAGCTACATAGAATGTTTGGGGCCGACCTGAGATACATGAGACCCTGTCTTAACCTTCTCTATCACGATGAATGGGGGCTCAGACTGGGGCAAGAGGATTTCTTTATCTGCCCCGGGAGGAGAACTACCTTTGGGTAGAAGGCAGGTACGTGGGTGAGGACCTATCGTGTATCCCTATATTCCCTGCTTTCCTGCCATCTCGCCTAGGTAGAAGTGCTCACTAGTGAAGTCTCATGCGAAGTCTAAAGACCCACCCTTTTTTCCAGAAGGGCCATGCCCATCCCTGGAAGGGCATGTCTTCCCTCCCAAGTCTCTGAAAACTGGCTACGGGTTTGCATCTGCCCACAGGGGCGTGAGTGCAGGCTTGTCTGCTCAGCTGGGTCACTGGCTCCCAACAGAGGTAGGGCACCTGGCACTGGTCATGCCCATGCAGGTATCAGTTAGTGCTCAATGAGGAGACAACAGAAGAAGGCGTGGCCTGGGTGAGGAGTGGGGGTGAGCAGAAGGTTCTGGTAATCTCCAGGAGCATGGCCAAAGACTAAGCCCTCCTGTTCTCCTTTGTGCTTCCTTCCTGTGCAGGGCAGGGGTATCCAAGGTGGGGATGGAGCCAGGATTCATGCTCTGCTTGGGAGAAGGCCCCATCTTGGCTGGCCAGTCTGTCGTTTGACTCAAGCTCCCACCCCCTTCTCCCTTTCCACATGGGGATGCCTGGAGGCTCCTCCCATTCAGGTTGGGATGAAGTGTATACTAAGCCAGGGGCCAAGGCTCAGGGCCTGCAGCTGGGGATAGGCTGAAGTCAAGCTTTCTCCTCACCCTGAGGGTGCCGAGTAGTGGCACTCACTCAGGCAGGTGACAGTGGCTTTCCTCTCCTCTGAGCAGGTTTGGTGGTAGCTTTCAAGGTTGCCACACCGTATTCCATGTACGTGTGTCCCGAAGGGCAGAACGTCACCCTGACCTGCAGGATCCTGGGCCCTGTGTCAAAAGGGCACAACGTGACCTTCTACAAAACATGGTACCTCAGCTCACGAGGTGAGGTTCAAGTGTGCAAAGAACATCGGCCCATCCGCAACTTCACATTCCAGCACCTTCATCCGCACCACGGAAGCCACCAGGACACCCAAACCAGCCACGACCAGGCCCAGGCACATGGGCTGGAGTTAGCTTCTGACCATCACGGTAACTTCTCGATCACCATGCGCAAGGTGACCCTGCAGGACAGCGGCCTCTACTGCTGTCAGGTGGTAGAGATCAAGCACCACCACCCACAACAGTGGCTCTACGGGTACATGGAGCTGCAGGTACAGACAGGTGAGCGTTCTGTACAGACTGCCAGGGGTGGGGTGGGGGAGGGGTGGGGGAGGGAGGGGGGCGCCTGCACATCTGCTACGTGACTATGTATGAGACTGTGAGTGACACGGCACTCAAGGGCATGTGACTGTGAAAGAAGTGGGTGCCTGTGTGTGGGGTGCAGACATGTGATTATCTTACGTGTGGGCTCTGTTTGTGACAGAGCGGCTTTTTCGTGTAAGGGGGTGTTATGTGCCTGAACTGGCAGTGTGCCTGCTCATGAGAAAATGTAGGTGATGGGGGGCTGGCAGTGTGCTGAGTTTGAGTTGATCATGGCTAAATGGCTGGGAAGTGAGTGTGTATATCCGTCAGTCCCTCTGAGAAGGCAAGATTTGACTGGATCGAGACGTAGGTGCTAGCAGGTAACGATTTGCTCTAGGAGGCGGCATGAGAACAGGGTGTGTGTGTGTGTGTGTGTGTGTGTGAGTGCATGCCCATGTGATCACACTTGCATGTGTTCACACACACACACACACACACACACACACACACACACACACACGTGTACAGACTCCATGGGCCAGTACTGCCAGGCAGGCATTAGCGTGCATTCTGGTGACAGGAGAAGTTACTAGCCTGGACCAACCTCCTTGGCCTCATGAGCCTCACTCTCGTCTAACAGTCCTCTCTTTGTTCCCACAGGCAAAGACTCACCATCCACGTGCATTGCATACCCATCTAACGAACAGGACAGTGACAGTAAGGACGGCCACCCCCATATCTCCTGTGCACTCTGTTCTCTCTGTATCTACCTTGGGCCCAGATCCTGTTCTGGACTCTCACCTCAGTACCATACACCTGCAGACCGCCATACTCTCTGCTGCTGCCTATACCCCCTTTCTCCTTCTTGACTGTGGCCCCAGAAGCCCTTGCTCCTGCAACTGCTCGATCTGTGAAGCACGGATCACTCGACCAAGGTGACACATACTCGCACTGCTCAGCGGTACAGCAGGGACTTGACTGTAGCCTGTCCAGCTCTGCTCATAGCCCATCTCCTGTGCTTATGGAAGGAGACTGGGCATGCTGAGTGCAGGGTGGCTGTCAGCCCTGGTGCTGGGCCAGAGAGAGGCCTTATGGGTGAGTCGGAGGGCTCTGCTCTCAGGGAGGCTGGACAAAGAGAGGTTTGTTTGCAAATGCCCTGTGGCATATATAGCAGGCAAGGGGTCCTGTCTTAGGGTGCCCCACACTCCACAAAGGGAGGTCTGTGGCTTATAGGTTTGCCAGGCATCTAGTGTGAGCCAGCTCTTGCTTAGGCTCTGGTGGGGCAGAAGGGGAAACTGTGACCCTGGCCACATGCTTGAAGGTTTGAGCCAGCTGAACTTACAGCCTTGTGTAAAGCCCCAAAGACCAAGGCAACTCAAAGATCAAAGCAACTTTCTAGTCAAATCACTCATAGTTTCAAACCAACCAACAACCCCACCGTGTACAAAACTGAATGAGAGCCACACCGGTGTGACAGTGAGGCCTTTGGTTCCGGCCCTTCTGCCACACACCGCTGAGCTCGAGGGTGTCCTCAGCACCAAGCCGCGATGCTGTCCTCACTTCCCCTCTGAGCATCTTCTTCCTTCCCACGAAGCAGCTCGCCCTGTGTGCCCACATGTATGCGTTTGAGGGGACACGTCGGTGGGGCATGGGCGACGTTCACTTCCCCATGGTTCCTTCACTCTGAGCAATCACCCCGGCCCTGCTTCTTCCTCAAGAACCTGCCTTTGCAAACGTCTACTTCTGCTAGTGCTGCTGACATGTCACGAGTAGGGAAAATGAGGGTCAGGGAGGTCGTGGCTGACCCGGGACTTGCTATGTAGAACATGCTGCTCTCAAATGTACAGCAATCCTCCTGCTTCTGCCTATGAGGTTCTGGGATTCCAGGTGTGAACCACTAGGCCTGGCTTCAACAGGACCTTGTGAAAATAAGTCGTATGCTTTCAGTCTTGGGGACAGGGACAGAAGATGGTAGAGGGGAGAGCGCTGGAGAAGTGGACAGGCCCAGGAGGCTGGGGACTTTTCTATTCCTGAGACTTAGAGGAGAAGCATCCAAGGGCAAGGCGGACGTGTGAACCTGACCTCCAAGGAGGTTCACCTTTTCCAAACCTCTCCGCCCTTAGCTTTTGATGTTTTAAGCCCTTGCCAATTCTTGGAGCTGTGGAGTCTCTTTCTGGCTCCTGATTCCTTGAGCTATTGTCCAGTGAGTTGGCTTATTGAGGGCCAAAAGAACATGCTTGATGCCACTGCAGCTGTTGAGGGCAGAGGATGACTCTGATGACCACTGGTGTCCCTCCCCTTCCACGTTCCTGGTTTGCACAGTCTGGACACTAACCACTAAGCCCGAGTTAGTTCCTGGGTATACTTTTGGGAGTGTGTGTGGAGAATCTGGGCAGCACTACCCCTTTCTGCATCATTGCTCTGCTGAGGAATGGGGGTGCCCATGTTCCTTTTACATGTGATCTAAGGGGCTACATCACGGATGGGGACCATTTGTGTCTCAGGCCCAGGGAGCAGGAGAACAAAACAGTAGGGAGGGGTGAAGGCTGCTGAACATTCAGCCACCAGTCTGCAAGGGTAGTTCCATCGCCATGGAGGTGTGGGTTCCAATTTCCTCTTGATGCACACTGGGCCTTGCATCCCAAGGCACCTCACCCACCCCTGTGCTAAGAGATGGGGACTAATGGTAAACACAGGTGGGTTCCTTAACACATTTCTAGAGCATTTGCCTGGCCACCGATGTCATTGCTAAACAGGCCCCAGGGCCAGCTGCTAAGCACTATTCTCTACTGTTCATTAACTCTGAAAGGTCCCAACCTCAACTCTGTCTCATACCAAAGTGTTCAACCACAGCACTCGCTGGGTCTGTTAATGATGCTTCCAGCCAGGGTTTTTGTGTTTTTCCTTTTCTAATTCCAGTCTGAGTGGCTAAATGCTACCCTATGGGAGAGTAGCTTAGATTAAACCAGGACCAAGTCCAAGTGGGTTTCAGGCAAGAGGAAGTGTTGGCCAGGTGAAGGAGCCTGCCAAAGCCGTGGGCTGGCATTCCATTGCATTGCCGAGGGGCTGTGGATTTCCCCTGAGATCAGGACAGGGCTGGGCGGCCCGTCTCTGTACCCTTCCCATCCCTTAGGCAGCAGGATATGCCAGATGCTTTCCTCAGCCTCCTTTACACACACCCACAGGGTACCTGGCAGGCCCTGGGCACAGACTGACCAATCTGGGCCTTCCCATCCTGCCTGCTCCGAAAGGGCCTGGCACGTGCCATGGGGGCTTTTGGCCCCGTCTTGCACCAGTATCTCATCAACTTCCCAGGAAGAGCCTGGCTCCGGATGGCGAATAAGATTTCTCTGCAGTGGGTGTCACTTTGGAGTAAGGGGAACTGCAGTCAGCCTGGCTTTACAAAGGTGTCCTAAGCCTCTGGGGGCAGCTGGGCCCACATGCATACCTCCCTAGCTTGCCCCTACTACAGTAGCCTGAACAACAAGTTCACTGTATGAGGAAACTGACTCTGGACGTGAAGCCAACGGAACCACAGAGGGCAGGATTGCCACTTGCAAACAAGAGGGTCAGGCAGGGAGGTTCCTGGCCAAATCCTCAAGGCAGGATGTGAGCACCTGGCTAACTGCTCCACGAGTTGCTTAGTAACTGTGGGATGGGAGAAAAGTGCTTTTGCCGCCAGCTTCTCAGATTGCCCACAGTAAGGTCCTCGGATGGGGTTTAGCCACACTGAATGGTATGAATTATGGAACGTTTTTTACTTTCAGTATTCCACGTTCAAATGCAGCCACATTAAAACCGGCAGGGAAGCTGCTTTCCTGTGGATTGGAACTTCCTTCGCAATTCACCTAGCAATTGGTACTGCTTCCATACCAATGGGTACTTCTAAAGCGCCTGCCAATGGTCTGCTCAGTTCCATACACCTCACTGCGAGCCCATTTAGGCTTCCATATTGCTTAGCCATACGGTGGGATAAAAATGGCCTTTGTTCCCAAATAAAGTGCAGAGGCAGCAAATAGACCAAGGCACATCCGACTCCTAGAGCTCTCTGGAGGCCAACCTGATCCTGTGACAAGAGATCCCAGCCATGTTTTGGCAGAGAGAAAGGCTGAAATTGGGAAGGAAATGGCTTACTCTGGTTGTGGTTCCGAGGGCTTGTCTGTTCCCAGCTAAACTCCTGGAGTCAGCAGATGGACTGAAATAAACCAACCCCCTATGATGTGGGGCTCATGCGGTGGCACGGCCCTTTCTGAGATAATTGTGCAACAGCCTAGGAGAAAACACGCACGCAACACTCCCTGGCTCAGTGCTTTGATGCTAAGTGTTTAGGTTCAGATGTCCTGCCCCGGTGAGCAGAAATCTGAGCCTAAGGATTCCTTCTTGCAGGATGAGGACTGTTGAAAATGGAAGTAAACAATGTCTGCACCAGACAGGGATGTTTCTGTCAATTTGGGGCAAGCTGTGTACAATAGAGCCCTGGAAAGAATGAAGTGGGTCTCTGTGTAAACAGAGAGATGTCCAAACTGTGCTTGGGGGCCGGGAGAACATTTTATGTGTTCCCATAAGATAAGACCAGGTTTAGATAGATAAGGACTGTGGTCTGTGATGGGGCTCAGATTGAGGAAAGGAAGAGACTTTTGAATTTTCACATATGTTTACAGTCCTATGTATGCATGCATGTATGTGTCCATGCAGAACCAGAGGTTGACATTAGGTGCCTTCTTTAATTGCTCGCTATTTTAAGTTTTTGAGGTAGAACTCTCACTGAATCTACAGCTTACAGTAGGGTGAAACTGGCTGATCAGTGGTTCCCAGGGGTTCTCCTGTCTCTGCCTCCCCACTATCTCGGTTACATGTGGCCACACCTGGCTTTTTGAAAGGGTCCTGGAGAGCCAGCTCTCAAGTGCTCATGCCTGCACAGCACACGATTTACTGAAGGAGCCGTTTTTCTTGCCCCTCTGTTTTTGGCTATTTAAAGATTTTTTAAGGACATTTCTCTAGTCTAGCCTCCTGTCCCAAGTGCTGGGAATAGAATTCAGGGACTGTGCCTGTTAGCCAAATGCTACACCCCTAGCTCAGTTCTCTAATTCTTGTTGCAAATTTAATGCTCCTATAACTGTGTGTGTGTGTGAGTGAGTGTGCATGTTTGTGATCAATAGGCCAAGCTTTCAGGGGCCTCACCCTGGAAAGATCAAGGATTCCCTCAAAGGATGGGCTAGGGTTTGTTTGTTTATTTGTGTTGCTTTTTTCGAGACAGGGTTTGTCTGTGTTGCTTTGGAGGCTGTCCTGGAACTCGCTCTGTAGACCAGGCTGGCCTCGAACTCACAGAGACCCGCCTGCCTCTGCCTCCTGAGTGCTGGGATTAAAGGCGTGCACCACCAACGCCCAGCTTGTTTGTTTGTTGTTGAGACAGGATCTCTCTATGTAGTCCTGGCTGTGCTAGAACTCACTGTATACATCAAGATGGACTTGAAATTACAGAGATCCACCTGTCTCTGCCTCTGCCTCCTGCATGCTGGGATTAAAGACTTGCACCATCATGCCTGGTGAGGCTGGAATATTTTGTTTTCATTGTAGTAAAACATCCATCTTTAGAAGCAAATGCCAGTGTCACGCAACAAATCACATCCTCGCTGTTGTGCAACACTGTGTTCTAATTTGCTTGCATCACTTGGGCTCCTTTGGACCTTGAACTCCAGCATCGGGTGGAAAGGGCCTTTTGGTGGACAACCTGAGGTCCAGGGTGGTCTCTTGTAGGTGGAATAAGGAGTTTGCTCTCTCTTCCTTGGTGCTACCTCATTTCCCGTATCCTATGGGATAGAGGACATAGGCTGTCTCTGAAAGGAGGTCACTAGACCTCCCTGGCCTCTTCAGGTCACTAAGGGTCTGGATCTGGGTCCTGATATATGAATTTCCCATCGTGCCTGCTCCGAAAGTGCCTGGCACGTGCCATGGGGGGCTTTTGGCACCATCTTGCACCAGTATCTCATCAACTTCCCAGGAAGAGCCTGGCTCCAGATGGTGAATAAGATTTCTCTGCAGTGGGTGCCACCTTGGAGTGAGGGGAACTGAAGTCAGGCTGGCTTTACAAAGGTCCTAAGCCTCTGGGGGTAGCTAGGCCCACACACACACTTCTAGAACTTATCCCTACAGAGCTTGGGAACCTTTCCATAAATGCTATGCAGAGTCCATTCCTGTCCAGTTCCCTTCTCCAGTCTGGCAGAATGTGAGCACCTCTGGGGTCATTCTGTGTCTCCATTTCTCCTCAGGAGAAGTGGTGGTAAGGGAACCCTTGTGTCAGCATTTTTTCCTTCTAGGCATCACGGCTGCTGCCCTGGCCACGGGCGCCTGCATCGTGGGAATCCTGTGCCTCCCACTTATCCTGCTGCTGGTCTATAAGCAGAGGCAGGTCGCCTCTCACCGCCGTAAGTAACTTTTGCTGGGATGGTGATGGTTTTTTTTCTGACTGTGAGGCCAGGGATGGCATGGGACATGAGGGCTGCACAGTCCTCTCCCCTTCCTCTGTACCCCTGCAAGGGGCTGACTCTGTGGCTGATGAGAGAGAAGGGTACCTACATATGCCTTTCTCTGGGCTTGATGCCTGCCAGCTGCTTTAGTGCTCAGGCTGGCTGGCTTGGCACTCCATACAAATGAGTAGGTGACTACACAGGATGGGTGGGACTAGCTCAAACTGGTTTATAAGGATGCTGCCACTCAGGGGTCTCTTAGAGATCTGCTTGAGCCTATGGGTGGGTTTGTTTTGTAATGAGCAACAGTTGATGGGACAGAAACAAGTTTTGGGATGTCAGAAATAGCAGAGCTTTTAGCTATGGCTTCAACTGTCCCTGCCCTTTCACAGACAAAAGCTCAGACTCTGCAAGTGAGCTAACTGAGTGTCATAAGGCGTTGTGAGTGCAGAGCTGAGGTGGCCCCCAGCTGGTGGGGCCAAGTTGTCACATCTGTGCTTCGCTTAGTCACCATGACAACCCAAACAGGGGACATTGCTGTCCTCATTTTACAGATGGACAAACGGAGGCTAAGGAGGGTTCCCTGACTTGCCTAACGAAACACACTGCAAACGAGCAGTGGAGCCAGGCTTCAAGTTCATGGTCACAAACACCACTCGCATCCCTTTTCTGAGTGATGATGCCCCCCTGTCTTCCCCGGCCTCTCCTATGAGCCTGTTTTCTGAGGGGTGGGAGCCCAGTGGGTAGGGAGTTTCTCCGCACTTACAGTTCCTCCCTGGCCTCTTTCCTCTGCCTAGCTGCAGAAGGGAATTGAGGGAAGACTATTGTCACCAACTCACAGCAGATTTCCTCTGCCCTCCCCTTCACCTCTCAATTACTCTGCCATCCCCCTACCCTCTTTCCTGGAGGCCCACAGAGGGCCACTGTGGGCTGTGGCAACCTCACCCTTCCTCTCAGACTGTTTCTTCCTGTTAGAACCCTACTACAGCCTGCCCATGGGCATCCCTAAAGTGGCAGTGTGGAGCACGTGACAGACTAGAGTGAAGGAGGAACCCAGGGCTCTAGGGGGGAGAAATGGCTGAGGGGATGGGGTCGGGGAGATACCCAGCTAGGCTAGGTTCCAGATGGATTCCCAGGTGCTTTCTGTTTTCTCTTCCCTTTGCCCAGACCACAGCACCGCCTGGTCACATGGTTAGATGGTCACATGGTCAGATCAGGGCACAAGAACTGGAAAGCAGACCCAGGGTGATGGCTGAAGTATGCAGGGGGCTTTACTCAGCCTTTGTTGGACCTGGCCTTTCTTGAGGAGCATCCAGAGGGTTCTCATTCTGCTCATGGGACCTAATGGCATAGAGATGGCTAAAGGAAAGAAAACTAAGAGTGTGTGCGTGCATGCATGCGTGCGTGCGTGCGTGCGTGCGTGCGTGCGTGCGTGTGTGTGTGTGTGTGTGTGTGTGTGTTACCAGGACAGAATGCCATTCATGTAGGATTCTGAAGACAGGTCCCAGTTCCATACACCTTCAGTCTAAACACTGGCTCCAAATTTCCCATTAGCCTCAGGAAAGCCTGTGACCTGGACTTAGAGAAGAGCCCAGGGTGACAATGGGCTGGAATGGGCTATATTTCATGGCATGTTGAATGCCTGTAGAGAATAACCTTGTACTGTCCCAGAGTAAGAATGTCCCATGTTCAATAGCAGGAAGGGGAACAAGAATTTATTTTCTAGCTCAGGTTTTTAATCCCAGCCCTCAAGAAGCAGAGGCAGGCAGACCTCTGTAAGCTTGAGGCCAGCTACATAGTGAGTTTCAGGGCAGCCAGAACTACATAGTGAGACCCACTCTCAACAAGATAAAGTCCAAAACAAACATAAAACCATCCAAGTGGAATTATCTTCTAAAGCAAACACTTGTGAGTCTCTCCTCTGCCTCTGAATCAAAGCTCCCAAATCCAGTCTGCAATTTCAGACTTGTTAGCAACAGAAACACATGTTAGAAGCGCCAATGCTTAGACAAAGGAAGCACCAAAGGACGGACAGTGTCGCTTGGGGAGTCACTGATCCCTACAGACCCCAGAGTGGCAGCTGTAGAGTGCTGGGAGCCAAAACAAAGAGCAAGTGGCAGGTTAGCTCATGGTGCACAGCCCCACTCTGGGCAGAAAGTTCCCGAGTCCTGGGCTGGGGTCCGGGTTGCCTAGGGATGAGCATGTTCGGGACAAAAGAAAAGGTCAGGCAGCTCAACATTGCCAGCTCTAAAGTGGAGATCTCCATCTTTACCCCAGAGCAAGGTGGCGAGGATGAGCTTGGCTTGTGCAGCCTGACACAGAGTCACTCTGTCAGCAGAAGTGGCCTAGATTTCAGGAACTTTGTGCAACTTCCCTGTGTTCGTCTTGCAGATACCCCCCTCCCCAGTCCGTTTCCCCATGCAAGCCTCCTCCTGTAAGAAGGATCCGTGGGAGGGTGTGGGGAGCTGCAAGAAAGGGGGAAGTTGGTGTTCTTGCATCTGGGTGATGGCCGGTTTTCAGGGGACCCCAAGGATGGGGTGAAGTGGCAGTGGCTTGTGGGGGAGAAAATGGTAGAAAGGCTGGGAAGCCATGGGGAGGTTGAGGGGAGAGCGGACCATCTAATCTCAGGAGCTGACCTTGAACCCTCTACCCAACAGGCTGTGGCTAAAGACCAGAGAGGCTAACTTCCCAATAGAAAGCCATCGTCAGCACAGGCAGGGGCCTGGCCTTTGGTTGAAACTTAGATTCTGACAGTCAGACTTCTGGGGAAGTGTGAGCCTGGGCCAAACATCATCCCACATGTGGAAAACGCAGACACATTTCACTTGTATACAGAGGTGGTTGTGCTTTGGGTCCACCTGTTAGACAGACACATAGAACTCAGGCCTTTTCAGCGAACAGTATGGGCTCCTGGGCGTGCCCTGGGTGCAGGGGGAGGGCCCTGCAGAAGGCTTCCTTCCTGAGACCAGCTTTTCTGTCTCTCTGTAGGTGCCCAGGAATTGGTGAGGATGGACAGGTAAGGCCCACAGTGACCTTGAGAGTCTTTCTGGAACCAGGTATCAGGGAAAGGGTGCTTCTGTGTGACATGGGGCCCCTGCTCAGCGTGGCACAGTTGGTCAGAGCTGCATCTGGCACAGCTGGACTGGTGGGCTGCTCTGTGTATCACCTTCACCCCTGCTGGGCCCTGATTCTGCTCGGAAGTGCTGGCTTAGGATGGGTAGGAGTGGAAGTGGCAGGCTGGAGCAGACATTACAACATGCTTATGACCCAGCCCTAGCCCATGGTGCATGCATGGTGGATGACTTGGCTGCACCAGGCGTTCCAAGAGAAAGGTGTCAGGCTGAGCAGGCATGAGCAAGCCAATGGCTGTTCTGGGCTCGGGGTGGGGGTGGCAGGAGTCAGAGATGGGCAGGCATGACAATGTTATCTGTGCTTGGGCATGGGCTGGCTTGGATGGGCTTAGAAATTAGTCACCTGCGGAAGCTTGGTCCCTGTCCTACCATGTGTTTGAAGGAGACAGCGTCTCTGATATGTCAGAGGAAGCTCTACCAGTGATCCCACTAGACCCTCTGAGGTGGAAGGCTTTCACGGGCTGCCCTTGTCGCAGCTGGGGAGAGCAGGAAGAAAGGGGAGACAGGAAGGCTAGAAGTGCTCCGAGTGACACTAATCACCCCTAATTCTGCTTCTCTAGCAGCAACACCCAAGGCATCGAAAACCCAGGCTTTGAGACCACTCCACCCTTCCAGGGGATGCCTGAGGCGAAGACCAGGCCCCCGCTGTCCTATGTGGCCCAGCGGCAACCTTCGGAGTCGGGGCATCATCTGCTCTCTGATCCCAGCACACCTCTATCTCCTCCAGGCCCTGGGGATGTCTTCTTCCCATCCCTAGGTGAGCGTCACCCAGGTTTTACAGCACCCTGACTGATTAACATTAGGACCACAGGCTCTGTGGGGCCTCCCATCACGGGGGGGGGTGTCTTCATCGTGCAGAGTTGAACAAGGGGACACAGGCACCTCCCCCCCACATTCACTTCTTTATCTTTTTTTTTAACAGATCCAGTCCCTGACTCCCCCAACTCTGAAGTCATCTAACCCAGCTGGGGGACCATGGACAATGGTACCTGGATTAGGGGCAGGTGCATTTGATCTCTGGCTGGCCCTTTAAACAGACCTTTAGGCATTGACCCCAGCCTCCTCTTTCCTGCTCTGAGCCTGGACTCTGCTTTACAAGACGCGTGGACCTTCCCCCTACCATTTCTGGATGCTACATGGGGTGGGGTGGGGCAGGGAGAAGATGCTGGATTGCTCCTTGCTGTTCTCAAGATCTCGGGATGCCGAGTTCTCCTTAGAGACTTGACTTCACGCCATCAGTCACAGATGCCAAATGACCTAAGAAATTCCCGAATGTCCAGCTTGGCAGCAGCCTTTCTCCACGGGAAAAAGCAGCCCAGAGGGGATGAGGTAACCACCTTGCCACCCTCCCAAGCAAGAGGCTCAAGATATGAGAGACTCCTGCTCACTGTGAGTGCGGGGCTGGCCTGCTGTTTTGTCTGAGGATGCGCTGTTGGCCTGACTGTATCCCTTGAACTCTGAGGCTTGGCCTGCCCGTGCCCCACAATGGGGGCTTTGTCAATGGCCTTCCACCAGGAATCTGAGGGTCTGTCAACAGTTTAAGTGACTGGGAGTTCAGTGGCCAGAGCTCTGTAACAGGAAGTACCTGTTATGTCCAGGAGCCACTGTGAGCTCATTAGTATCTTGAACAATGTGAGGCCTGACTGTCGTCGTACATGGAGGGTGGTAAGGGCATGACGGGAAAGGCGAGTGGAGACTGCACTCCTTCCTGTCCTCCTCATCCACCACTCCCACTGGTCAGTGTGGGGCAATGATAAAGGTGACCTCCATGTCCTATCTATCCTGGGCCACTTCTAAGGGATGCTATTAAAACCAGCATGTGGCAGCAGCTGTAAGCAGCAATGAGTGAATTGGAGGCCCTAGCTTGAAGGCCCTGGGGGCGCAGGGCCTGGCGTGTGGGAGGGGACAGCTAGGGCCTAGGATCCTTCCACTTCTGACCACGGATCTTCAGGGTGACCTGCAGGCACATAAAAGAGCTTGTCCCCGTTCTGATGCTACTCTTGGTTCTTATCGCCAGGGTCTGGCATGACCTGGGGACACAAGGGGAGTCCTTCATGATGGCTTTTAAAGCATGAAGAGAAAGGGCAACCCTACGAGGTAGAAAGTGTACAGCTGATCTCTGAGAGTAAGGAGGGGCGGGGCTGGCCTGGGCAAATCTACCCTTCAGCTGGATGGTAGCCTGGACACGGGAAGAGCTGCAGCCCAATGATAGCACTTGCCTTCCTGTAGCCTCCACTGGCTTAGATGAACTGGGCCTGGGTAGGAAAGCTCATACCCAGGGCCCATAGCAGGAAGACACCCACTTATTGCCTGGGGACAGATGGGTAGGAGATGAAGAGAAGAGCTCCAGGCTGGAACACAGCAATAAGCTACCTGCTAGGAACTCACACAAGTTGTCTGGTAAGGACCAAGTGTATAGGCCCCTGTGGGATGCCAGCTATGTCTGGGGCTTGGAGTTCCTGGAGGCTCTACCATCACAGGAGTGTTGGGGAAGCCAGGACACCAAAACCATGACTCCTCTTTTGTCCCCAGGGTCCCCTCTTCAACTCCATCTGTTGCCATAGACTCCACACAGTTACTATAGACAGAGCGTGTTGTTCTTCTGGCTTTGGGGGGCACTGGGCTGGAGTGGAGGATGTGCCAGCTATTCTGTGGCAGGGTTTTGGGGCCTCTGTCAGAGAAAAAACCCCATAGACCAGCCTGTCCCCTGGGGACAGGCTGGCCTGTCCCTGCAGCCCTAAGCTTCAGACCTTGTCACCCAGATGACTTCTAAGAATTTGACTGTCGGATGGACCCCTGTCTAGCTGCTGCTCTGTGGAAAGGGGAGGAGGCCCCCAGCAGAAAGCCACTCACTTCCTGCCCAGCTTCCTTCTGCAGGGCTCTAGACTCTTCTCTTCTGGACCCTGCAAGTGAAGGCATGTCAGCTTCACGGTTTCCTGTTTTCTTGATGCAGTTTTTGTGTGGTCCAGGCTCTGTCTACATCCACAACCTTGGGCCCATGACCTTTGCTGCTGCTGTGGAGGTGCAGGGTCTGGGCATGGGAAATGGAGGTGTCCTGCCCTTGGGGCAAGCGATGGGGTGACTATGAGACACAGTGGGGAACTTAGTTTCCAAGAGGAGGAAGAGCCCTGTAGCCTCCCCAGCCATACTGGGTTCCTGGTACTAGCAGAAGCCCAGGGAGAGAAGTCTATATTCTGAAGAATTCATTCATCCTTGGGAGCTGTCAGAAATTGGGGGGTGCTTTGCCTATCTCTGGAGGTTCAAGTAAAGCTCTCCCTGGGACTGGGCTGAGAGGTACCAGTAGGAAAGATTTCTGATACAGCAAGGGCTATTTGACAAGTCAAAAGGCCACTGGTGGTTGTTGTGAACCAAGCTGGCCCCCCAGAGTATGCTAGCGTGCCTCAGACCAGCTTCTGCAATGAGTCCTTAGTCTACCCTACCAGTGTTTCCCCAGCAAGAAGCAGCTGAGAGCCCGGGCAGAGGCTGGCTTCTGGAGGACAGACTTGGAGGAGGCAGCTGGGCTGAGGGTTGCAGAGGGTCAATTATCTCTACTAACCTAGAGCATGCTACCTCCTGGCAAAGGGTTTCCTGGGTATGAGCTAGAGCAGCACTCCAGGGCTGACCTGGCTATAGTAGGAGTTGAACTTTGATTTTCTCAGGGAACTAAAATAGGCAAGAGAGGAACTGGGGGTGCCAAGCAGGAGAGTGGGAGGCAGGTTCCTTGAAAACAAACGGCCCAGTTGAGTGCCTGTCCCCGACTACAAAGAGCACGAACCAATGCCCTGCATGCCCACTGCTTAGCCTGACACTTTCCTTGCCCACAATGAACATGAGTCCTGGGAGGGTGGGGACTAACAGCAGTTTAAGGCTGCCCGGGGAGCTAATAGCCGATACAGAGTCCTTGGGTAGCTGAGCGGAACCAGAACCCTAGGATTATACTCTGGGGAGCTAGCTGTGTCTGGGCCTTCTAGGATCACCATAATGGCATTATCACTTTGAGCTCCTGAAGCCAAGCGATAAACATTTCACTGGGTTTCATGGTTCTGCTAGTATGGCTTCTTGGGAAATATAATGAGAGGAATTCAGATGTGATAATACAGCTGATAAGAATGTGCTGAGATTAATTAGTAATGCCTTGGACCCAGGAAAAGGAAACAGCAGTATGGATGCCATATCTTAATCTTTTTTGTTAAGCTATGCTTCCCAAAAGATTTTCATGTGTGGTTTTGCTTCCTTTTCTTTGTCAGTCCTCAAAGTTTCCTGGTGTGCATGTGTATGAAGTATGCATGTATATATGTTTATGTGTGTGCATATGGAAGTTAGAAATCACCATTGGGTGTCTTCTTTTATTCCTCTGCAATGTATTTTTTTAAAAATGTGTTTACTTAATGAATGTTTTACCTAGATGCATGTATAAGCATCATGGGCATGCCTGTTGTGTCCCTTGGAACTGCAGCCACCATGTGAGTGCTGGGGATCAAACCCGGGACCTCTGCAAGAGCAACAAATTAAGACAGGTTTTAATTACTGAGCTATCTTTCCAGCCCCACCACTGAACTTTTTAGCATATGTTTCGATATTTTTACGCTCATAGGTTTTTGCCTGCATGTATGTATGGGCACCACATGTATGCCTGATGCCTGTGGAGGCCAGGGGAGAGAGCACTGGATCCACTTGGAAATGGAGTTACAGAGAGTTGTGTGGGTGGAATTGACCTGGGTCCTCTGGAAACAGCGCAAGTGCTCTAACTACTGAGCCATCTCTTCTAGTGCCTCCACTTTGTTTTTGACAGAGCCTTCGGTGAAGGCTGCTCACCAATAGGCTGGACTGACCGAGCAGTAAGCCTCATGGATTTGCCTGGCTCTGCAACCCACCCCTACCCCACCCCACCAACTGCTGGGGATACAGACTACATGTAGCCATGCCTGGCTTTTTTCCTGTGGATGCTGGGAATCTGAGCTCAGGTCTTCATGCTTGTATGGCAAGCACTATATCTATTGAGTTCCCCTACCCCCCACCAAGAGTCTTTACTGTCCCCATTTAATGCAAAAGGAAATAGTAATTCTAAAGGCTCGTGTTGTGTGGCTGGTGGAACCACTGTTAGTTTTCCTGCCTCTCGGCCTATGCATCCCTCTGCCCTTCATTGAACCAAACAGCCTTCTTGCCCAGGATCTACTAGTGCCCTCACTTTGTACATACTGGGCTCCTGAGAGATGAACCTGAACCCACAAGTTCATGGTTCCAGTTTACTCCACACCAGGAATATGTCCTTATTTATGCTCTGTCTTCTCTGGCCTTCCCGTGGCCCAGAGAACCTGTGCTAATGTGTAGGCTCCTTCCCGTGGCCCAGAGAACTCTGCTAATGTGTAGGCTCCTTCCCGTGGCCCAGAGACCCTGTGCTAATGTGTAGGCTCCTTCCCGTGGCCCAGAGAACCTCTGCTAATGTGTAGGCTCCTTCCATACCACGTCTTGTTGCCTCCTCCCTGCCTGGTCACCCCCAGGTCAAACACTTCTGGTAGACACTGGGGTCCATGCACTCCATGCGTTTGCACCCAGGGAAAGGTGAGGGAACAGAGAGCTGCATCTGACCACTGAGTCCCAAGGAGCTTGGCCAGCTGTGTGTCCAGCATCTGGAGAGTGGCAGAATGTCTCTAACAAGCAAGGCCAGCCTTAATGACTGCACATCCTGTTGCTCTCTGACAGCATATTTGATAAGTTGCTTTTAAAAAATATAAACAGCCGGGCGTCGGTGGCGCACGCCTTTAATCCCAGCACTCGGGAGGCAGAGGCAGGTGGATCTCTGTGAGTTTGAGGCCAGGCTGGACCGACAGCTTCCAAAACAGAGAAACCCTGTCTCGTAAAACCAAAAAAAAAAAAAAATATATATATATATATATATATATATATATATATATATACAGTCAAGGTTAAAGGCCAGGGGCTGGGTTACTCTTGCTGGCCTGGAGCAGTTCTGCCTGCCTAATATGAACAGAGGCTGGGGGCCAGAGCCATAGCTGGGGAAGCTGGGGTCATGACTGCAGAGAGGCTTGCTTCATAGAATATCATGAGCTGCTAGGGCCGTGTTCCCTGCTCGCAGCCCACCTTGGAACCATGGACCTGAGAGTGAGGGTTATGTGTGACTGTATTTCCTGCTGCTGGCTGTCATTCATATGTCAAAAAGGCCACCCTCTCTCCTAAATCTCCTGCCAAGGTGCCTCAGGGTCAGGGCTCAGCCCCTGACCTCCTCCTTGCTTTCCGTCCTTCCTCCATGGACCCAGCCCTTCCTCCTGCAGGGGTCCCTTGGTGGCCACTTGGGCCTTGCCACAGTCCTGTCTTTCCTGCCTGTGGCTTGGAGTTAACAGAGGTCCCAAGCAACACAATGATTTCCTCTGGCAGGGTGGCAGGCCATTGTGTGGCAGGCCTGGGGCTGGCCCGGATGGCCCTTGCAGCCCAGCTGTCCCTGGCCTGGGTGATACAGGCTAAAGGCTGTGGATAGGAATGTCCGGCTTTGGGAGGTGAGGGGATGTTACCCAGGGAAGAAGGGAGGGAGGTGTGGACACAGGGGTTCTCCTGGGACACCGGGAACTTCTTGGCAGTTGATTCCTAAGCCCTATGCTACAAATAACACCTGCAGGCTGGTGAGATGACTCAGAGGGCGAAGATACTGGTAGACAACCCTGATGATCTGAGTTCAAAACCCCAGAAGCCACATGGTAAAAGGAGAGAACTGATTTTGGTAAGCTGCCCTGTGATTTTCACATGCATGCTTGTGGTAGGTGTGTACCTGTGCCCACACACACGACCCTCCCCTCGCAAATAAATAATACA